CCACGCTCATCTTATTAATGTTGCCATGCGCCACTGAAAAGMGTCTGAGACGTTTGAATTCCATGATAAATCAAGTCAAACTTAGTCCTAATAGCACTTGCTGATTTTTGAAAGAGCTTGCAAAACTTTTCTGTTAGACGACGGTATTATTTCAGTATAGAAGTGCTGGTGCTATCTTGACCTCTACTAATTTATGTGTAGTATCTATGTAGGCGCTGGTAGCCACAAACCAAAAATAAATTAGTATGAAGTAATTAATACTCTAGCAAAACACGATAACATATGATTTGGCTGGTTTCATTTTTGTCTACCAATATTCCTCAGCAAAACAATATGTTATTTGCTCATAATATTAGAACTACTACTACTAGCAGGTGTTATTATTTCCAGNTTTCATTTTTGTCTACCAATATTCCTCAGCAAAACAATATGTTATTTGCTCATAATATTAGAACTACTACTACTAGCAGGTGTTATTATTTCCAGTAGCTTTTATCCAAACTAGTAGAGTCTTCTTAACTTTGTTAATGTAAATCTGTTCTTTTTCAACATTACCAAAAATTGCTGTAACATTTTATTGTAAGTTGGAATTCCTCTAATTAGTTCCTCCTTCATTSTATCATAATCAATGGGGGCTTTCTGAGAATGTTGTTCATCCTCTTCTTCATCACATACCTCTCCCAATAATTGGATACAACCACCAGACTCCAATGYTGCCAACATAACATTCAATCCTTGAGGTAATGGATGTCCATGCTTGAGTTCCATTTGATTGCAACTTGTACTCTTGCAAGTTGCATCACTGAATGGTTTGATACCAGCACTGTTTCACCAGAGAAATATCCCCAGCAATCCTTTCATCCTRTTATCCATTTCCAAACTAATAGGCTGGCACCATCTGTTTGTTGGCCATCTCTCTCTTCAGTGGATTGCTGATCCTGACCTTCATTCAAGTTCTTACTCCCTGATTGAGTTGTGGAGTTATTTAGTGGAGTTATTTCTCAGTTCATATGATATTTGTTGTGGGAACAACAMAGCAAAGACCTTGACAAAGATGGCTGACAATAAAAGTTCAAATTTATTTGTTTCTAAAAGGACCTTGTAGAAATCTTCCTTTCTAAAGCTAGTACTAATACTTTGCTGTCATAATACCTCGGAGTGTACAAGATATCAATTCATGCAAGTATCCAATAAGCTTGATTCAATTCTTTTAATCCAGCAAAAMCAAAATACTCTGTACTATCTAGTACCTGGTTGTGCCTCCACCACCCCTCCTCAGATGGAGGTGCTGCCCTTTGGAGCAACTACTAGTAGTAGGAGCATTCTTCTCCYCAGAATTTATGGTCTTATTAGTAGCCCTAACTACAGTAGGACAACAGTTTTTAGTRGTATCCAAGAAAGATACAAATACTACTTCTTTGTGTTGTGCTTGGTGGTGGCTAGAGATTTGCTACTAGTCTTACTTAGTTTTTCACTTGTGTCCTTGTGATTTTATGGCTATGACTAAATTTATCAAGTGGTTCTACTATTTAATAGGACTCCTTTGTTATTGGAATTGGGACSCTATAATTTTTGGAATGACTACTTCTTCTTTAAATTTGGAATGATTCAACAYCAATTTCAGAATGAATTATATTTAATCTTAAAATGGTTCATTTAATATTGGRGATTGACTAATTTAATTGGGACTTCAAATCATCATTTGAGATCGACTTATTTCATTGGAACTTCAAGAAATCATTACAATGACTAGATTTTAAAGTCTTTGGAACAGATTCTCTATTATCTTGTTGTCTGAAAAYGCCTCCTTTTCTTTGATCCTGGAATGATAGCTGGAATTATTTTACAGCTTTTWGTTGAACTCTTAGTTTCCATGCATTTGAAACCACTTTGTGTAGTTAGAATTTTCATTCAGTTCACTCTCATAAAATGAAATTCACTTTTTAAAAAACATTCAACTCCATCATAGATTCTGATTCCACCAATCCTTTTGCTAGTAACACTGATAGTGACAACACTACTGGTGTCTGTCACCCCATTATCACCCCTTTAAGTACTTTCATCTCTTTCTACTCAGCTTTTGCCACTTGTCAATTGTTTTCTTGATCAAATGTTGATTTAGCACCACCTTTTTCCAAGAGTCAGTCTTGCCACCAAACTTTTGGCTTTTGATGAATTTAAGAACAAAAAYGAATCTTTTGTTGTTATCAAAGGTTTCTTAATACTACTCTTGCTTAGATATGACTGCGTCCTGTGCTGGTTTACCTTCCATAGTAAGCTTTAGWTGCCCAAGTAAGATCACAAATATTTGAATTGGGAGGGTGTGTGAGACRTCCCTTTCTTATACCAGGCAACTTTTAATTGTGATGCTGCTTCCATTATTTCTGGTTGCAGCCATTGTTAACAGAGGAGGCACCATGGTTTAAAGAGAGGCACCTCCTTCTTGTTTAGAACAATGGAGTCTTAATTTTGTTGAAACATGTCTTAATTTTGGCGGT